CACAGCAAAGAAAAAAAGGCAATACTACAAAAAATAATAGACGGTGGTTTCATAGCTACCTGCAAGCTTTGCCATCTCCATTTTTGAAATGAATCGACATAATCAATTTTCAGTGTAATGCTTACGGTTGCAACCTTCTACAGTTGATTAACAAAATCCCCAACCATAAAGCACAAAAGTTCAAAATTCACATAATAACATGGCCCTCTGAAAAGGACACCAAATCTAGCACAACAAAGAAAACTTCAAAAAGAAAACAGTGTATAATAGGTGCAAGAAAAAGAAAATTAGACTGGTTTAGAGATTCTGCAAGCTAACAAGCATTACCTAACTTTAAAAAACAAAGAACCTTCACCATTTTCCTGTTTCATGATCACAACATATCAATTGAACAAAACACAAAGCCAAAGAACTCTTAGCTCTCAAAATCGAAAAGATATAGAAGAAAACAAGAGGTAAGGAACGGAAAGAAACGACCAACCTTACGTTGGACAGGTTGTATCAGAGGATTCAACTGCTAAATGAAGAAGGCGGAGATTGGCAAAGCAAAGAAAAAACCTTCCAGGAATAGAAAGAATAGCGATATTTTCATCGTCCCCTCGTCGGTGAGAAAGCAGAGGACGTGCTTTCTTATAGGAATGTCGACAGCATAAGCAAAGCGGACAGGACATCTTCATTGTTCCCATTCCTAGACCACACATTTATTATATTTTTTAAAATCTCTAATGTCAAAAAAAAAAAAAAAGCAAACTTCATTAGTTACTCTAATTCGAATTTTGGTAAAAAAAAAATTTCAAATTAATTAAATTTAATTTTAGATGTCTAAAACATAAATTTTAATTAATTATTTGTATTGTATGATTTTAAAAATTACTAATTTAAAAATTCTTCATAACCTCATATTTTTCATAGATTGAGAAAAATATATATATTTAAAAATAATCATTTAAATAAAAAAGATATAAAAATTCTTCACATAGATTGAGAAAAATATAAATATTTAAAAATAATCATTTAAATAAAAAAGATATACATTAATGTATTAGAACCAATTTGTTTGCATAATATAAATAAAAGTTAATTTTATTTGAAGTTTTACTCATATATTTGGCTAATTGATGTTCAACAACTAAAAAAAACAAGAAGTTAGTTTGTTTTTAATTTTAATTATTAAATATTAATTATTCAAAAAAATTTAAGTTTATACTATTATTAGTTCAAGGTGCCATTGTATAAAATGTTTGTTAGAATATACTGATTAAGCCATAATTTTTTTTTATACTCATTATTATATATTTTATCTTATTACATTAATAAATTTTAATATAACATATTTGTAAAACGACTAATGTTGAGCTGGTATAAATAATGTCGAGAAATTTTTTTAAAATATTGTTATATGCTCTCGGTTTAAAAAATTTCTAGACCTACCGTTATTTTTTAGCCTTATTTGAACATGAATTTAACAATATTCATTTATTCTAAAATAATTCAAAAACTATTGAATAATATTTGAATAAGATTCAAAGAAAATTTGGGCAGAGTTGGAAACCCTTTTCTAACATGAGTTAAACATAATCCAACTTTATTCAAATAAAATACAATGTTATTGAAGATATACATAACAAATATTCATAACATAATAATATGAAATTGAATAGATAAACATCAATAGCTCAATATAGTGTAATTGAAGAGACATAATAAAATTCATAACACAATATAATGCAATTGAAAATATATAATAAATTGTCATAAAAAATAAAGTATAATTCAAGAGATATTATAAAACTAATGATTCCACTATGAACAATTTAAGAGATAAAGTAATATTGAAGATGTGATTGAGTGTAATTCAAGAGATAACACACCCCTATAACAAAATAGATTTAAGAAGATGTTGACAATAAAAAATAGTCTTTTTAAAATTACATGCAATCATGTATAACTTTCAAAAGATAGTGTAGCAACGCTTTCCTTTTTATAGCTAATATTGGCATTAAGAAAATCAACTTTAGTGCCATATTAAAATTATTTTTTTTCAATTTTAATATTAATTATAAACTAACATAACTTATATATGAGGTAATTATATGAGTTTTTAAGGATCATTAGACTTAGGCTATTTTCATCAATGAATACATAATGTTGAGTTGCTCTATTTAGGATGTCAAGCTTGTCACCCATATTTGTATTCATCTTCAACAATCTTTGTTAAATAATGATTAGTTTAAAATTCAACAATGACAACTATTGTGTCATAGCTACAAATGCCTAATATAATAATGTCACTAGCCTCATATTATTTATGTATTTGTCCATGATTGAACTGTAGATGTGACCCAAATAGTTTAATATTGTTCTCATTACAAGCATAATTAGAATTAATAGTTGCATACATAGTATAATATATCAAATAAGTAAATTTCAAAAAAATAAATTGAAGGAAAAACGATTTAATTGAAATCCTTTTGAAATAATGATCAAATAATGCATAAATTGGTTCAGTCCTTACTCATATCAAATTCAAATTTTGCTCAAATCTTAAGCTTTATTCTACACATAATTACAACTCATTCAAACCAAGCTTGAATATTATTCTAGTCTTGATTAAACACTGAATCATGTTCAACCTTTATTCAGACTTATTAATGAGTTTTAACTATGATCAAAGCCTTTCAAACATTGTTCATACTTCATTTGAAAATATGAACAAGTTAGATTACTTAGCTAAATGAAGTAAAACATAAAAAATTTTGATCTACATCAATAAACCAACTTGGATTGAGAACCACCTAGCCAAAAACACAAAG